ATCTGTGCTCATTCTCGATTTAATGTACACCCAACCTACTTTTGCGGGTATAATACGGTAATTGCTGTGCAAAATTCCCTGGGATACAAGTGATCCGTGTAAAAGAGAAGCGCTAATGTGCTTCCCGCTTTTATCTATTCTTAGCGTATGGTCCGTTATATACTAAGTAAGAAAATAGGCACCAATTTGAGATTGAGCCAGGCGTGGGAATCCGTTTTGCACAGACTCTGTGGGGAATTTCTTGCAACTCCTGAAAATTTGGTATTTGCCGGTGCATTGTGCCATCCTGATGGTTTTAGCGCTATGCAAGCACTAATTTTGTTTCTGAAGTTCCACCTCTATCACAATGAAGGCCACTTGGTCAGCCCGCCATAAGATTTATACACACACACGAAGCTTGAGACGCTGTGTTCATGTGTGGCCCGACAGAACAGTTTTTTTTTGTTAGATCAGGGACATAGATCGTTTGGGCAATGAAATTTCTTTCGTTTAGGCAATAGGCGTCGAGTAGTTAAAGGGTACGACTTCCTATGATCTATTCTGTTTTCAGAGAGTCAACGGCAGAATCTTCTAGTGGCTGGTTAGGTTATCTAACGCAAGCTGCTTCAAGTTACCTTCCAACGCAAGTGAATGAGCTCATGACTGTAGAACGAAGCTTCGCTACTGCTATATTGCCAGGATCTGACAAGAAGAATGTGGCTGCCATGCCAACGTAAGTTTTGTGGACTTATAATTTAAAGGCATATTTGATATTTAAAAGACAGTAATTAAACTTTCCATAATTACCGTAGCGCGGGGACCGTCAAAAAGTCGAGTAACTTACTCAATTATTTTGAACTTTGAGATAGTTCATCACTCATTAAAAAAAGCTCCGAGTATGACTATTATTATTATTATTGCCATATCGACAGTGAGAAAGCCATGGCATTGCAGAGATTCATTTAGGTTAATCGGCAAAGGTGTCCACTCACTAGCTTCAATTCATTTATTTATGTTGGTTTTCAAATGCACTTTGTCGCGGACTGGGTTCATCGTTTTTTAGGATCAAAGGTCAACCACACCTTCTCGTGGCGACAACGGATGGTTTCCTGTATTGCTATCGCATTCCTGAGTACTGGTGGCGAATGTGATCTTGTGAAAATGCACCGCATAGGTGTCAATGCGACGGAGACGAATAGAACTGAATCTAGTGCGAACATTCACCATTACAACCCAAATGCAATAGGAACGTTAAACTAATAATTGTTCAGGTCGAGCAAGCAACGCAGAGAGTGGTGCGAGAGTACCGGATGCTAACGATCCCGAAGATTTCCCACCGATCTGTCACACAACGGGATGATTATTTGTGAGTTGTTCGCCATGTCTTTATGACAACAGTCACTGTAAAGTCGATGGATCAGTTCTTGCTGTGGTTTTTGAGAGGCAAAGCACATGATGGCTATAAGGCGGAGCGGTTTTGATAACGCTATTGAGCGTCATTGGTGAAAAAACATTGAGATGGTCCCTACTACACTTCCAGCCCGTTTGGAATATGGCCCGCCAACGACGTTCAATGACGTCATCAAAATCCACTCCGCCTTAAGCCATCCTCTATTGTCTGCCTTTGAAGGCAGCGATAGCGATTGAGTCTGACGATGAGTGAGTTCGGACTAGATGGTAGTGCTATAAGATGCGCCAGGTAACGAGCCACAACCGATTAAGAGGTCTTTCGGGCGTGTCAGCCCCAGTAGCTGACATCAATCCTTTTGACATCTTTCTTTAATTGATATAATAAATGATATAATAAACGCATTAAACAAAAAAAATCATAATAAGACCGCTTGAAGTGGAATGCCCTTTGAAATGAAAAGCGAGCGATGCTGATACTTGCAATATTTTAGTGAGCGGAGCCTTTTTTGGGCGGTATGGTGAGTAGAAGTGATGCCAGAGTAGATATGGTGAGTAGATGATGTGATGCCGAAATCATCAACCCATTCCATCCTCTTACGTTTTCCTCTGGAACGGCCGTCGAGCTGGGCAAGTGCGACTAGAGAAAGGATATATCCTCTAGTTTTCCCTATTCCACGCTTCTTTTCTGAAGTTTACACCATGTTCATCGAAAAAAAAAACCGTAAAAATCGACCCACCTCTCCCTTTCCACAGCAACACGACCCTCCCTCCCCAGCCCTTCTCTGAAAACTTCAAGTACACTTAACTTCACATAAACACCACCCTTGTCACTATCACCAACACACAACAAAATACGGCTCTCCTCCCCCTCCTCCAAAAATCCCTACATGCCCTTCTTGTCGAACTTCTACGACAGACGGTTGACCCTCTCAGATGCTCAAGGTCTATTGCAAGAAGTTCCATGCCGATAGTGAATGTACGCGCGGAGAGCACAGACGGCTCGCGGGTGGCGAGAGTGAATATCCGCGCGCGAGAACGTAAAGGATCAGGCGAAAATCCTCGACGTGCCGTTGAGGAATCCTCAAGCAATATTCACCCTGCTCTCCAATAACTTCGATATGAGCTTCCACGACACGTAATCGATTTTCACTTTAAAGTTACTTCT